TGTGTGTGTGTGTGTGTGTGTGTGTGTGTGTGTGTGTGTGTGTGTGTGTGTGTGTGTGTGTGTGTGTGTGTGTGTGTGTGTGTGTGTGTGTGTCAGAGCATCAAACAGCACAGTTGGGCATGTCTCTCAATTCAATTAGCAGCAGTAGCTCATGCAAATCAATATTGGTGGACACATCTGTGCAAACAAAGCAACTCTTGCACACTTCCTCGTCAGAAGAGAAAAGCAAGCTGCAACTGACAATTCAATTACTCAAAATATGTGCCCGTCTTGGTTTAGTGTCTCCGAGTATTGGTCTAACCTTCATGCCATAAAGAAATATAAACTAAATCAGTGACATAAAACTCACTTCGCTCACTAACATTTGCCAATCAAAGCCCCTGCAACTGGAGGTCTCCTTGCAGTAGCTGGCTGTTGTCTAAGTTTGCTGGGATGTCACGAGTTTAACTCACAGTCAAAGCAAGGAAAATGCTTCTTATTTCCTCTCTGAAACTGGAGGAAAATGGCCTCGGAAAAGAGAGTGCACCAAAAATGGATGCTCAGGTGACCTGCAGGTAATCATCTCCAAGGAAGTGATGACATGCAAATAGCAAATTGAACAATTTGGCTTTTTTATGCATAATGCAAGGGGAAAACACTCTATTTTTGTTTACAGCATCTGTCAGTGTGCTCTTGAGCCAGGCACTTTAAACCTAAATGGCTGCTCAGAGGCCACCAGGGGATAACAGTGGGCGGGCAGCTTCCATGATGGAACAAGAGTGGTCTTCCATGCACAATATATGTGAGACCAATCCATGCTGAGCTACAGCCCGGTCTTACACAATCTCAACTGAGCATCTTCAGTTTGTGCTCATGCATTGTTGGCTGAGATTCTGCAGCATGAGAGGCCTGTGAAGTGTTGGCCAGCACGCAGCTTCTCTCTCTGTTTTTACAGTAGGAGCTGTCACACCGAGTGGGAGTGCAGCGTTTCCAATGTGTCACTCGTGTGAATAGCTTCCTAACCGGTACAATCCAAACCTCTGCGTCCTCACAGGGCAGCGATGTCTCCAAACACCCGCATGGATTTCATGGAAGCGATGTGTTTCCCTTGTTCCTTTTACGCACCGTCCTAAACGCGTCTTTTGGTGAAAACGAAATGTCCTGGATGTATTTTCTCCGGAGATTTTAAAGTGAAGGGAAGCGCAGCTCGCTGGAGAAGCCATGTGGAGAGCGGCCACGTCCCTCGGTGGGAGCACCGGAGGCAAAAAGCCCCACTAACAGGAGATCATTATTTACCCTTTCTTTGGGGGAAAAAAGGTCCGTCGATGAGGAAACAAAGAGGGTAGAGATGGTAGAGAAGTAAGTGCGTAAAAACTAATTGAAATTCAGCATTTGAAATATGAAAATGATATAAATATGTTTTCATTACTGCCCCTTCATAGATTGAGGATAAAGAATGTGTCTGCGTTGTTTTATAGTGAGTTGCTTGAGGAATTTAGTGATTGTGGCAATCTTTTAGCCTCACAATTTAATATTTGATGTTGTCTCTGCATGTGACACTTGTATTGTAGCTTTCATAATAACCTAAGACCCATTTCAACGATATAAATAAATAAGATAATGCATATAGTAAAAACAAACACAAAAACAATGAATATCGTTATGTTTTTTTTTTACATGATATATTTCAGCTGTTGAAGAAGTAATCCTCTCCATAAATCGCGTACAGTGAAATACTGGCTATTAGGAACTCCTGGGGTGGTTATGTAATTGCATATACTTCTGCAAGCTGTTGGGGGAAATGGGACTGTGACAAAGCGAGTTAAATTTTTAATGAGCTTTGTATTCATTTGTATTGTGGGACACAAAAGCAACAAAAAAAAGGTCACGATTCCTGTCGGGAGAAAGTAGGGCTGAAGGGATTGATATAATAAGTGATATTATAAAGATCATTGTGCTCAGTGGTTGAATCAGTATTAAGAGATGTTGTAGGCTTGAAGTTTCCTATCTATGACAGAAGTGAGTATATTTCACTATCCATTAATTATAACTGTCATCCCTTCCTAAAGTTTGCTAATCGATTAATTGTTAAATAAAAGACACGTCAGCAGAAATGATTTAAACACTGTTGTTCCAGCTTATTCTATATAATGAAAAGCTGCTTTCTTAGGCACTCAAAACTTCACTCTATGCTCTTGAAAATGGCAATGGTTATTTTTCACTGTTTTATGACATTTATTGTGGTAAATGTTGAATTGATTTATCAAGAAATTAACTGCCAAAATGAAATGAAAATATTTGATGCACCCCTGCTCTAACATTGTATAAAACACATGAAAGAACTCCATGTTTTAGCATAGATAGATAGATAGATAGATAGATAGATAGATAGATAGATAGATAGATAGATAGATAGATAGAGTAGGTGGAGGATGGAGGGATGGATAGATGGATAGACAGATAGACTTAATCCCTTAGGGAAGATGTTCTGCTGAGGCAGTGGAGTTGGTACTAAGATGAGTATGCAACAGAAATAAATGGATCCACATTAATACATTCCTTCCTCATAGTGGCCACACCTGACCTTCTTGACCCGAAGTCTGCCGCCCATAACTGCAAGCCTCGCCTGTCCTTCTCCATCCAACCGGTAGTGCTTTACACCCCAGAGGACGAGTGTGAAACCCGGACTACAGTGATGAGGTGGAAAACGGTGTCAGCCATCTTCTTCATGGTGGTGCTTTACCTCATCATTGGAGCAACAGTGTTCAGAGCCCTGGAGCAGCCTTACGAGAGCTCCCAGAAGCTGGCCATTCTCGCAGAAAAACTCGACTTCCTGGCCATGCACGCATGCGTAAACTCCTCCGAGCTGGAGGATTTGGTCAAGGTAAGCGAAAACATCAACATCATATTCATAATTTCAACCTTTTCTCTTCTGCAGGACCTCGTGAAGATGAGTGTTACCACACTCCACACTGTGACTACAGATTTTTCTCTTTCATTTAATTTTTAATAAATTCTGAGGTTACTAGGTTTCAACTCGACAGTATGTTGTTTGTTTGAGGATTATAGTGAGTGGCAGACAAAAAGATTACGAGTAAACACAACGAGAGCTCTTAACCTCAGGATACTTGAGTGACAGTTAAGTAGGCTACTGTTTGTGTATTTATTCTGTGGCCACTGCAGGCTGTATTATATCAACATATTTCCATGTCTCCCATTCTATTATTTGACAGTGAGTTGCGAGACATTTCCCTTCACATTTAAAGTAATAATATAGCAAGATTCTTATTTAGAGAAATCTCTTTTTGTCGATTTCTAAGTGAGGTAATACAATGTTTATTGAGTGTATTGCCTACTGATTTCACTTGCAGTATTACAAACCAAGTGTCTGTAGAATAACGAATCTCTTAATGCTACGAACCACTAAAGCCTTTGTTGCATAAACTTGGTAGAAACAATCAAAGAGTAGTTTTAAACACTGCATAGAACAACCAAATGGCCCATTGTATTGGGGCGGTTACATGCAAACGGCTGATGCAGATGCACACAGATGGTTCACTCACTGATGATAATGTTCATAATAGGAACTATTTCAGAGCTTTCATCTTGCCACTAACAGGTTCAGTCGTTCTTTTCATCCTGCTGCTGAGCCGACCAATAACAGCATGTTATCCATTTGAATCCATGTTAAATGGTTGTGATTGGCCTTTCCAAACCCAGGGGATGTAAAGACCTTAGGGTTTGTAAGACACATTGTATTTAGAAATCCCGAAACACAGTCTGTCAACAACTGTGAGACTAAGATGTCTTTGGCAACATTCCTGTAAAAAATCCCAAATTCGCTCAGTTGGTAACTGAGATCCAAAAATATACAGAAATATACACTAGCCTACAGTGAAATCTGGCGTCGTTTTAGTAAGACATTTTCACTTCCGCATAAAAAAGCCTCCGCACGTGACCTCCCGCGTGTGACGTAACGTGGGGGAAACAAGGGGGAGAGCGGCCGGTCTAACGTATGAATAAACATGGATCACAATGCTAGTTTTGACACAGAAGAGGTTGAAAATATATATTCGAATGCATATGATTATAATTATGAGCCTGCTAGGCGTCCAAGAGACCATGAGCAGCCAAGGATTAGAAAAAATAACGGCCATCGGAGAGAAATTGAGTTTTGGTGTGTGGAGAACCAGTGGAGAACAGAGCAGCTGTCTTGGTGAGTGACCGTTAGCTAACGTCAGTCACATCAAAACATTGTAAAGTTAGCAATCATAGATCAGGCTATAACTAAAGTAGTATTGATAATATAGTAACGTTACTGGCAGGACTGTTGATACTGATCCATAACAGAAACTAATGCGCAAGTATCAGCCGTATCTCGCGTTACCTAATGCAACTCCACAGCACTACGGTGCTGACCGGAGGGGAGACGCGAGATACGGCTGATACTTGACGATCTGGCGGAGAAAGGTTGTGGAGCCTCCGTTGATATGCCGTTGTAAATGGCTTGATGGAAAGCAGTTGTGTAGTCGGGGAGGGTTCACAGCTGATTGCAGCAGGTGAGTGGAGGTTGAGTAGGTGGATGCACAACGCACCCAGGAACGAACGCTAGCTCCGGTCCTTTTCCCGTGAGGGAAACTGTGGACTCGATGCCCTGACAGGCTTGTGTTTGTGCAACCCGCACAAATATGGAGCTATTTCAGGGTCATAAGTTTTGATCATTCAAAAAAATAAAATGTATTTGAAAGTTCAAGTTTTTATCCAGAACTTTGAAAAATACAATGATGTATTCAACAAATACATTTTATTTTTTTGAATGATCAAAACTTATGACCCTGAAATAGNCTGAACTGAATCCAAATATATTCAACCTGAAAAATGATTTAAAATACTTATTTTATTTTGAATACATCATTGTATTTTCAAAGTTCCGGATAAAAACTTGAACTTTCAAATACATTTATTTTTTTGAATGATCAAAACTTATGACCCTGAAATAGCTCCATATTTGTGCGGGTTGCACAAACACAAGCCTGTCAGGGCATCGAGTCCACAGTTTCCCTCACGGGAAAAGGACCGGAGCTAGCGTTCGTTCCTGGGTGCGTTGTGCATCCACCTCCCTGCAGCACATACTCCGTCTCCACAGCTTTATCAAGAAACCGTATTACATCTCTCTCCCCCCCTTCGATGCTCTCTCTCCCCTCCGGTACACGGCACCGTAAGACGGTAACGCTGTGGTGGCTGTACTGCTCCAGCCGTCTCCTTTGTGTTTGTTTGNTATGGAGCTATTTCAGGGTCATAAGTTTTGATCATTCAAAAAAATAAAATGTATTTGAAAGTTCAAGTTTTTATCCGGAACTTTGAAAAATACAATGATGTATTCAAAATAACAACAAGTATTTTAAATCATTTTTCAGGTTGAATATTATTTTGGATTCAGTTCAGCATTTTTTTTTAATAAAATATTTATTTTCAGATTTCACTTTTATACATATTTTGATATTTGAACCCTTATTTTTCTCAGTTACATTTTTTATCGTTTTCAGATTCAAAACAATAATTTTTTCAGTTTCAAATCTTGTTTTTTCAGGTTTCACATTGCTTTTCACCTTCAGATCGTTTTTCGCTTTCAGATCTTTGTTTTTCGCTTTCAGATCTTTTTTTTTCGCTTTCAAACTTTTGACCCTGATGTTGCTTGGGGGGGCGGGGCTTAGCAAAGAGTAGTTTGGCATCCTGAGTGACAGGCCTCCCTCTGTCATGTTGCCTTCATGGATGTTAGGTAGCGCGAGAAATATAACTCAATACTTTCTATACACGATACTCCCGTGATAGGTGGGAAATAAAACTGATACCAGTGTCAAAGTTCCGTTAAGCGAGCTGTTGAGCATCATAGTTGGCAACAATCAAGGTATAAGCGCAATTAGCTGTGCTAGAATGTGAAATTACGTATCCGCAACGAGCCAGCAGGTTGTTCTGGTGGACCTGACGCCATCCCCCGCTGTCTCACGGAGAGATACCGCAGGTCCTTCCTTCCTGCAGCGGTCAGACTATACAACCAGCACAGCCTCTAGACCCCGCACAAAAGAACTCAGACTATAACACCTCTTGTTGATAAATACCAACTATGTGCAATATTTGCAATATGTGTACATATGCCGTTAAAAACTGTGCTGCTAAATCTGCAGAACTGTTACAGGGTGTGTATTATGTAAAAATGTGTAACTTTAAAATATATAATTTCTTTTTTTAATCTTTAATACTTTTTTCATGCATGCTTTAGGTAGCATTAAGCTGTCTTTGGCTCTTCTCTGCTGTAAAAATGTAAATGTGTCCCCTGTGGGACTAATAAAGGTAATCTGATTCTGATCGCAAAAACCAAGCCAATACTATGCTGCGTTCATGGAGCTACGTGGAAGTGGGGAAGGACAATGCTTGATTGCGGATACGTAATTTCACATTCTAGCACAGTTTATTGCTCTTATACCTTGATTGTTGCCAATTACGATGCTCAACAGCTTGCTTAAAGGAACTTTGACGCTGGTATCAGTTTACCACCAATCACGGGAGTATTGTGTATAGAAAGTATTGAGTTATATTTCTCGCGCTACCTAACATCC